CAGCCACTGCAACTTCTCAAACCACTGCTCAAGCTGCATCACAAGGAAGCGCAACACACAATGATTGACTAGTGTCGCTGTGATTGACAGGGGCATCATCAGGATTGAAACTCGTAATCTCTCGATGAATGTTTTCTGTTGAGCGATGCAGGAGCCACAAAAGAATATTTTTTCCAGCATAGCCTCCACAATGTGTAGTTGACTGCAGAACTGGCTTCGTCTAGTCAAATATTTCCAGACTGCCAAAGTACATTTTTTCCTGCTTGTTCTATCTTCTGCCACTGTAGTAATCTTTCCCACATACCCCACTAGTAGACAGCTCCCCAAATCAGCGATTAATGAAAGTATCAGTCAACTAGTCTATGCAACTCCTAACATATATCACTTTTAAGACAAAAATTTGTCATTTTTGAAATGCAATTAAAATTTTATACATTTTGCAAAAAATGTGTGAAGAAAAAGCATGCCATAAACATGCATTTAATCAGATCACACAATGGTCATTTCAACAAAAGTGTAGGAAGAGTGTGCTTTGAAAGAATTACATTAGGTAACCAAAAGTAGAGCATGAGTCCCTAATCATCTAAATGGATTTTTGCAATCAAATTTCTATCAAAAAATATTATCGTTATAATAGTTTGTTCTGAAAGTCCAAATTGACACTACATTTTATGAAAATTACTGAATGTGTCTATGTGCGCTTTGTGTGCACTATACATATTATGCATAGAAAACATTCTGTATATCCAGTGATGAGGAAATGCCTGAGCAACTTGGCTTGGTGGTTTGCTAACCGTGCAGGGCAGCTGCTTCCCTGTGGTATTCCAGGGCTTTCCGGTACTGTGCCAGTGAGTTGTGGACCGCGCCCAGATTCTGCATGACCACAGCTAGCCTGCGTGGAGTGGAGCGGACCAGAGGCAGAGCCAGCTCATAGCACTCAGCAGCCTCAGGAAAGAGCTTCAACTGAGAGAAACTCAACCCCACGGAGTTATACAGCTTACCTGAAAAACCCATAAAACAAATAGTACAGGAAAAATCTCTCATAAGGATTACTGTAGTTTCCTGTCTCACTGCTCTATGTAGAAAAGATTTTCAGTCATCAAGCCCACTTAACTTTCTAACAGTTGAGGCTACTTAACATATACGCCCTGTTTAAGATAACAGGAGATTACTACTAATATATTAGCGCTTATACGTCACCTAGTGTCTCTGGTTCTGTGATTTTGGCACTCAGCTCCAAACACTCTGTGAGAACACTAATGACATCATCTGCTGAGAAGCAGTCACATTTCAACATGTGATTCCCAGCATCCTTCAGGGCCACAGCAGCAGAGGTCAGCTTCCCTGCCACCTTATAGCTTTCTGCTGCACGCAGGTAATTCTCTGCTGCATCAGTCCACTCCTAAAACACAGGACACATGTCTGCACAATTCACTGATAATGCTATGAACTGCGCATAACAGCTGGCATATCACTGCTTGGAATCAGAAGGTTTCTAATACAAATCACATCAATCTTTTTAACCTTTGGCACATAATGATTGCAAACCATGACTGTGGAAACTACAAGCTATGACAACTCCAGTATAAAACGAACGATTCTGTTATTTTAGAACCCTCTGATGCTGGCACTCCCAATAGATCACATCGCCTCTTTTGCTGAAACTCAGGGCACTTTCATACCTGCCTTGTTTGGTGTAGACCAAACAACTGAACTGAACTATCTATAGTTTGGTCCATTTCAATCAAACTGGTACAGATTTGAGAAAACAGACTAAAGTACAATGTGAGCATAGTTGGTTACCAGTTAGAGAATAGAAAGAGCTGAGAAGCTCTAATTTATCTTGGAAGTATATCTTGGGCCAATCACAGTTTAATATTTCTAAGATACTTTTGTTGTCGTCCGTCTTTCGGCTGCTCCCGTTAGGGCTCGCCACAGCGGATCATTGGTCTGCGTATTTGATTTGGCACAGTTTTTACACCGGATGCCCTTCTTGACACAACCCTCCCCAATTTTATCCAGGCTTGGGACTGGCACTGAGAGCGCACTGTCGCACGCAATCCCAGTGTTTGGGGTTGGAGCCCTGGCCGGGAATCAAGGCCGGGCCGCAGCGATGAGAGTGCTCTGACTGAACCACTAGTCCTCCAGGGACCCCCTAAGATATTTTTGTAAGTATATGATAATTATAGGTTATCGGGGTGTATGGGTTTTTAAAGACTACAGCTAAAAACAGCAAACTCCCACTCTAATATTCCACTAAATTTCTTACACTTTTTCTTGCAGAGGCACTGACCTTCCTGCGCAGGTGACAGTGGGCCAGTCTGATGCAGGTGTCCCCTTCACTGCTCCCATCTCCTTGTGAGCGGTAAAGCTGTGCAGCTTGTTGATAACGTCTGACAGCTTGCACATGGTCATCCAGAGCCTCATGTGCTGCTGCTAGATTAAACTGCAGATCTGCTACACGCTCACCTCTCTCACTTGACTCAGCTTGTGACAAAAAATCAAGCCCTTTCTGGGGCTTTCCTGCCTCCACATATGCTGCTCCAAGGTTAAAAGCACAAGCCCGCTGTACTTTAGTCTCTTTGAGCTGAGAAAGGAGAAATAAGAATGTTTTTTTTCTAATGCAACACACAGGAATAGATTATAAACCATAAACCACATGGAGGCAGATGGAATATAAAACATCCTTAATGGTTAAATTAATCCCTCAACACCTTCCTTACATTCACAGCAGTTTTGAAAGCCTTTTTGAAGTACTCGAGAGCCTTTGAGCTGTCTCCCTGTTGTAGAGCGCTGTGTCCACAGGCTGTAAGTCTCTCCACCTGACCCTCCGCCTGGACCTCTTTGTCCTTTATGTCTTCACCCTTCCCCTTTCTGCTTGACTTCTTTTTCTTCTTCTGAGAATCTTGGGATGGTGAACCATCAGAGGCCATGACAGGAAACAGATTCAGGTCATGTGCTGGTGTGATACTAAAAGAAAAAAAAAAAAGAACTGAATGAAATAAATTTAAGCTCAGATGAGTCACCAAATATGTGACTCAGTAGTTTTGTTGCAGAAGAAAGCTTAACCTAGTGCTGTAAGGGTGTATAGGCAGGGTACAGCCCTCAAACCACTAATGATGCTAAGTCACAGATACTGTTGTTGTGAGCAGTTGCGAGGATTCACGCTTCACTAATGAATGTTTTATCACCAGTCTAAAGTATCAGCACTATACACCCTTTCCCAAGCACACCGATCACTATTGCCTATGATTTACAGAGTAAAACAGCACTTCAGTTCACTTCAGCGACTAGTAAGATACATGCAAGATAACTCTACATTAACACATTACGCATGCACTGGAGGACTAGTTAACTGGCACAACTAGCTAGTTAACCTAGCCAACTAGCAATCGTATAACATTACTGTACAACTTACTGTTTTTGGAAGTGAAGCCATGTTTACTGAAATCTTCTGCTGGAGCAGCTAGCATGAGAATACTACCTCCCGCCTCCTAAATGGACGCTAAATGATCTACACAGTCATCTGGATAATTACACGATTACTAATAAAACTAATCTGACAGGTGCGGAGTGAAGACGTCTGCCTCTGACCACGTGATCGTTTGACTCCGTTGCCATGGTAATACAATTGCAAACATTTCCGTGTCTTTAATGGAGTGAAATAAACACCAAGCGCACTTAGAAGAGATTTGTTTTATACGGATGCATTCGGATAATTTTAAAATGTAATTCGCTCAATAAAGAAAAAGAAGTAAACTCATTTAATGCGGAAGTGTCACTCAAAGGCAAGACAACAATGACCATCATGCATTGCGCGCCGCAGGCTTGCCAATGGGATTGCGGCGGGATATTCAAACTGCCCGGAAAGTCAAAACAGCCCAAGTGTGACTTCAGCCTTTCAAACAGCGAGCGTCTTACACCGCGGGTTATTATACTCTTTTGGCACGTAGTTAGAAGTTTAGTGCTGAAGTCGACAAGGCGTTTTTTGTTGATGAAGCTGGCTAAGCCACATTATTGTGCGGTTTGTTTTAATAGCGTTTCAGCTGTTGTTTTGTCAGCTAAGGATATATATATTTAGCCATATAGTCAGGAGACGTTAGTGTTCAGTGTCGCGATAAATTATTATAACTGGAGCTTCAGACTATCAAAAAAAATCAAACTTGCTCTGTCAATATCCAGAACGAAGAGAAAATGGGAGAATCCGGCGCTCATATCCGGTCAGGATGTAAGTAAACTTTACTTAAACTTTACTAATAAACTTTACTGCCGTCGCCTACATGGAGGCTCTGTGACCAGATCAGCTAATGCTGTTTACACAGCTACAGAAACCTTAACAGCTTTTAACAGCTTTATTTTTAGCTATTAAGTGTTTTCATGTAATTAACTTCACGTAATTAAATTTAATCACACTATTTAATAAAAGGTGCCTAATACTTATAAAATGAATGTTACCTGGAGTGTAACCTGGTGAGCACTAACTTATATACAGAGGGAGCTCTATAGGTTAAGGTCTACTGAAACTAACCTGCACTAATTAACCACTACTGGTGTCTCTACCCTTGTCACATACTTTAGAAGCTGTTTCAGATTTATGTTCAGGTTTAAACCTTTCTTTTTGGACCTTTTTTAAAGATGAACGGTTGACAGCAGAAGAAATGGATGAACAACGCATCCAGAATGTGGCCTACCAGTACCTGTGCCGCTTAGAGGAGGCCAAGAGGCAAGCCACTTCTACTGTACACAGATCCCACTGCTTCCCCTTAAAGGAAAACTCCACCCTGAAGCACATTAAATATGTTTATATTGAAATAGTTCTGATGTGTTGATGGATACTGGTGCTAATTTGTTGGTTGGTGAGGTATTTTTGTTATTACTGTGAGAAGTTTGCATTATGTGATGCACTGATGTCACAGAGGGACATTACAAGCGCAGTTAAAACTCCCCGATTTTATCTGGGCTTGGGACCCGTCTTGCAGCTTGACACTGTCTTGTGCAAGCCCAGTGGCCGGGAATCAAACCCAGACCACAGCAGTGTGAGTGCCAAGGCCTAACCACTAATCCTCCAGGGACCCGCAGTTACAGTGGCATTTAATAGGGTAAAAATCTTAAGCATCAAACTCAATCGCTGTTAGTTCTTTAAACAAAAGAACAAGAGCTTCTTTTCCTTCCCTCACCATTTCCAGTGAGGTTTAATGTCATAATAATGAGAAATGCAATGTAGAAGTGGTGAAGACCGCAAACACTGGACTCCAGAATACAGTTCAGCTGTACAACGCAGTAATGCTGAGTTACAGTAGAGAATTGACTTGGCTAGATAGTGAGCTACAAGATAAGCACAATGGTGTTGATTGCAGCAGTAGCACGAAAGTTGAAGCTTTGGAAGTTGATCTGTTGGAGCCAAATGTACAGATTATAAAGATTAATACACAAGTCATTCAGGAGGGATTTTTCCTTTAGTGTCCTGCATTGTTTGACTTGAAAGCTACACAGAATCGTTTGGAAGTTGTGATCTTTGAATGTGGTGTTTTTTTTTGTTTGTTTGTCTTTGTTTTTTTTTTTTAAATAAATTTCCTCTTAGGTGGATGGAGGCATGCCTGAATGAGGAGCTTCCACCTCCGACTGAACTGGAGGAGTCACTGAGGAATGGAGTTCTGTTGGCTAAGCTTGGCCACTGCTTTGCTCCAAAAATTGTTCCTCTGAAGAAGATCTATGACCTCAACCAGGAACGTTACAAGGTCTGTCTAATATGGAAGAGTCAAGAACAGTCCACCTACCAAAAATATCCAGTCAGACTCTGGCACTGATAAAGAGATGTAATCTCTTTACACATATATGCTGCCCATACAAGGTATATGTGTCTAATAAAAAACAAACAAAAAAACCTCACACTTATGTGCAATATTTTAATGTGCAATACCATCACACTACTGGCAAGCTACACTATTCTCAACCAACCTGTACTTATGTGTATACACCCCTCTCCTTGATTTTGTTACCTCCTATTAGAATAGTTTTTAATCTATTTTGTTCTTGTGTGCATACTCTTTCTGTACTGTACCCCTGCTGTTGCTAAATGCAATTTCCCCACTGCGGGACAAATAAAGGAATATCTTACTCTTATCTTACTCTTACTTATGCTAGATGTGTCTAATAAATGTGTGCATTTAACCACAAATGCAAACCAATACATTGTTTGTGTGTTTATAGGGGGTAGGTCTGCAGTTCCGCCACACCGATAACATCAACCATTGGAGGAATGCCCTAGTGGAGCTTGGCCTGCCAACGGTAAATTAAACTGATCTAGAATATTTCCTTTATACTTTCATGTCCTTTTATTCAAAATAATGACCACACACAAACATCACTATAATACATGATACTATAATTTCTCATTTCCTCTCCTGTCAGATTTTCTACCCTGAGACCACAGACATCTATGATAAGAAGAATATGCCACGGACTGTCTATTGTATCCATGCTCTCAGGTTGTACAAGCTTTTCTGCTGACACTGAAAATTGGAGATGAGCGATGTATTCATCATACTTTTAAAAGTAGATTTCTGGTACAATTACGGTGTAATGTTCATTTGCTTTTGGTTTCTTTATTTTCTTGTAGCCTGTACCTTTTTCGTCAGGGCCTGGCTCCTCAAATCCATGACCTTTGTGGCAAAGTCAAGTTCACAGGTAGAAGCATACTTTTTTTTCAAGCCAGATTACTTTTTTGTTTTTTTTGACTGCTTAGTCTGATTATTGATGTACCTTTTTTTTTTTTCTTTCTTTCTTTCTTTCTTTTCTCCTTTGCCTAGATGAGGAGATCAACAACATGAAGCTGGAACTGGATAAATATGGTATCCAGATGCCTGCTTTCAGCAAGATTGGAGGAATTCTAGCTAATGAGCTGTCAGTGGATGAGGCTGCTGGTAAGAACAGTCATGTCTAGGTTTAGCTGTTATGTGACTGAACAGGTGTGTTTGTGGACATCCAGCCCTGAGAAGCCTGCTGTCAGCGCTTATGCTTATAAACATTTTACCTTTCAGCGAGGCTATCACGAGTGTATGATGTTTATTATTACTATAATATGAAGAATAGCCTATTAACTATTACTTCTTACAAATAACAATGAGATGTAATTTGCTTAATTTAGTCTCTATATAGCAGAATTATAATGTACTGGGCAAAGTACATTATAATTCTGCTATATAGAGACTAAATTAAGCAAATCTTAACAAAAACATTGTGAGAATCTTCTTTGCTCACTTTTCTGGTCATGTGTGCAGTGCATGCAGCGGTGATAGCCATTAATGAGGCGGTGGAGCGGGGCTGTGTGGAGGACACGGCACAATCGCTGCGCAATCCCAATGCCATGCTCACTAACCTGCAGGAGCAGCTCATGGCCGTCTACCAGGAAATGCTGCGCCAGGCTCGTGCTCACAAAGCAGCCAAGGCTTCTGCTAAAGTGAGGGAGACGAAGTCTTGTGTTTGGTCCTATTATTTTACATAAATATTATATGTCTGAATGCAGTTAAGATGAATTATTCAATGTTTTTAGGCAAATGGCTCCATGGAGAAGGATATTTATGAAGAGTATCTGACACAAAGCGAGATTCAAGACAACATCACTAAAGTTAATGGTGAGTCAGTGCTCCAGTGCTGTGCATATGGGAATGTTTGATCTTGGAGCACAACTGTCTGTAATATGATCTATTTGTGGTGTGTTGTGTGTTTAGTGCGTGCAGCTGTAGAGCGTGTGGATGAGGCAATAGACTGTGGCGATGCCCTGGCTCTACTCTCAGCCCTGCAGAACCCGAGTCTCGGCCTCAGAGGGCTGCTTAGAGATAATTCAGACTGGTATCTGGAGCAGCTCGCGTCAGACCGAGAACAGAAAGCCCTGGTGAGAAGTTTGCAAATCGTACAGTCTTGCATTACATCTTCTTTACATTTGTATGCAATGCTTAAGGTGTGAGTCACTATTTGTATGTGTATTTTCTTCTAGGATCTGGGGTGTGTGGACCCTCTGGAGAGAGATGAGCTGCAGGAAGGTGTCGGTGTGGCCAACGAGGAAGCTCAGCGTTCACAAACAAGTCAGTTCAAGCCCAGCTTTATGACTTAATAATTAAATTAAAGCCAAGAGTCAAGAGTTGACTGTGTGTGTGTGTGTGTGTGTGTGTGCGCAGTGCTGCAGGCAATATCCAAAATCAATGAGGCTTTGCGGTGTGGTGAGCCACGTCAGACGGCGCGTGCCCTGATGAACCCTGATGCCCACCTGCCTGATGTCTACCCTTTTGCCGCTGAGCTTTACCAGCGAGAACTCTCTCCTCTGCAGCAGCAGTGCCCTCAGGTGGCTAATATAGCACCCCATTTACCACAAATTACAGATTCATACAGTTCCCCTTGCTCTAGGGTCATTAAAGCCTACTAAGCTGTAGTGGTTTGTTTTGTATATTGCTGTCAAATTTCCATGCCCTAAGGTAGGATTTTGCATATTAGACACTTCTGAAATCCAGTTCTTGGGCTCCCACAGGTAGGCCTATCATGATAATGAAGTTTTAG